TCTTCTAGGCTCTATAATTTCTGGGTGGGTTTTTTAATATTCTGGGGGTGGCAAAGATACAAATATTGTAGAGCTAATTTAGGCATACAATTTTTGTTCTAGAAGTTTCTACAGAACACTAATGTTGGTGATTATTTTGCAGGGAGAGGGATTGGAGGTAATAGGGACTTAGGGTCTTCATTTTGTACCTCTCTGCACTGTTTTGAAAAATTAAGATTATAAACCATTTTTTAAAATCACCCTTTTCGATATAACTTAAATATAGTAAAATAAACCCATTTTAATATGATTTGACAAGTGCATACACTCACGTAACTACCACCTCCACAAATGAGATACAGAATTTTTCTGTCACACCAAAAATTTCCCTTGTGCCTTCTCCCAGTTCATATCCCTACCCTCAGCCCCAGGCAACCAGCAATCCAGTTTCTGTATGGGCCGTTTTTATTTTTTCTGTATATTTTTCTGTACTAAGGGGAAACCAATGTAATGGAAATGTTAAAAATATGTAGAGGGAGGCAAGGTTTGGCCACTCTGGGGAATCCCTCTGCAAAGTTGATAGGTTAGGGCATGTATGTGTAAGGGCAGTGCAAAATTGGTAAGGGGTAGGTGTGTGTGTGTGTGTGTGTGTGTGAAAGTGGCAATGTTTTCAAGAGGGGAGAAGGAGAAAACAATATTCAGGGGAGGCTGTTTAAAAGAAAGTTAAATATTTAGATAATTTTTTAAAAAAGAAAAATGGAAATAATTACGTCATGGGAGTATGGATTGTTTTGTTTGCTCATTTGTTTTCTGTATGTGCTTACTGTTTTTATTACAGGAAAAGTTTACTTTTAAAAAAAAAAAAAGCTGTTTAATGCTTACCTGACTATAGAAGAAACTGACAATAAATATGAGTAGAACAAAAGTTGAGAGTAAGCTGTGTGAGACTTACTCTAAGTTATTACTAACTCCAAAAGGTAGAGAATTTACTTTGAGCAAGAGGCCTTAGTTCCCTGTGTCGATGGAAAAATACCTTTGATATCACTTTATAAAGCCTTTTAATTTAATTTAAATGTTAATTTAACCTGGGCAAGATTAGGTGATGTGGTGGTGCTATTTTTAGAAAATGCACGAAGAATTGGAGGCTTGCTAAGTGCTTCCATCCATTTTCTGACAGCTAACAGGTGATGCTGAGTGGTCCAGAGCAAACCACAGGAAGGTGTAACTAAGTAACAAAGCATCCTGTTTCCCCACTTGCCTGATGGGAACCACCTGGGGGTCTTATTAAACTTGCAAATTCTCAGGCCTTTCCCCAGACCTTTTGAATCATGTTCCAGGGGCTTCTTCTGATGAGGCAAGTTTAGAAAAGCAATGAGCGAAGGCTTTTGCTTTATAGACTTTGCATACATCGAAGTGGGAAGGTCATAGTGAACTTTTCTCCACCCAAGATAAATCTTTAACTTTTTTGATCGGGAGTTGGGGCCTGGCCTCTCTCAATACATATGTATATATTTATTAGGACTTTTGCATAAGGTACTTGGATTTTAGATTGCTCTGGGATTTCTAGGCATATGTAAGTATGATGGTAATTTTAAGTATTGACCTCTGTTCTTTAGCTTTCATGCAGTTTTTATAAGGTTGAGGGAATGCAATGCAGAGCATATTGTGGAACTCAGTTCATTTGTAATACTGGGGATTTAAAGCACTGATGATGGGGAAGGGCTTCAAATTGCCTGGAAATATGAATGGTGGCAAGTTAGAGTTTTTCTTGTGGTTTGTGTGGGACCTGTTTTCTCTATATAGTCCAGATTTGAATAATTTTGTAGGCTTTGGGTTGTTTATGTTTGCTTGTTTATTCATTTCGTAATTTATTGTCTTATGAAGAAATCACTGTGCTATGAGTAAATACTAGTAGTTCATCCTGTGTCTTGTCCTCTAAAAGCAAGAAAAATAAAAACATTTTTTAAAGTAATTGTAGTATTCAAACTGATCCTAAAATTCATGTGGAAATGCAAGGGACTCAGAATAGCCAAAACAATCCTGGAAATGAAGAATAAAGTAGGAGGACTCATACTTTCCAGTTTCCAACTTACCGTAATCAAGACAGTTAAGTGCTCGAATAGGGATAGATACATAGATAAATGGAAAGAATTGAGAGTCCAAAAATAAACCCTTAACATTTATGGCAAACCAATACAGTTCAATTGGGAAACAATACTGTTTTCAACAAATAGTATGGAGACAACAGGATTGCACATGCAAAGGAATGAATTTAGACCCTTATCTCACATCATATTCAAAAACTAATTCAAAATAGATCATAGACCTACATGTAAGAGCTAAAACTAAAAATTCCTAGAAGAAAACAGCATACATTTCTATGACCTTGGGTTAGACAATGGTTTCTTACACAAGATGCCAAAAGACCAAGCAATGAAAGAAAAAAATGGTAACTAGGACTTCACTAAAATAAACTGTTGTGCTTCAAGATAGCAAAAAGGCTGGGCATAGTGGCTCATGACTGAAATCCTAATGCTTTGGGAGGCCAGGGTGCGAGGATCACTTGAGCCCAGTAGTGCAAGACCAGAATGGGCAACATAACGAGACCTCATCTCTTTTTAAAAAAAAGAAAAGAAAATTGAAAGAAGTAGCTGAGTGTGGTGACGCATGCCTGTAGTCCCAAATACTGGAGAGGCTGAGGTGGGAGTATCACTTGAGCCTGGAAGTTCAAGGCTAGAGTGAGCTGAGATCACACCACTGCACTCCAACCTGGAGAACAGAGTAAGACCCTGTATCAAAAACAAAAACCAAAAAACCCCACAGAATGGGGGAATATATTTGCAGATGATACGTTTGATAGGAAACCTTTATCCAGAATCATTTCTCCAAAAGAGATACACAAATGGTCAAGAGGCACATGGAAAGATGGTTGACATATCCAGTCATTAGAGAAATGCAAGTCAAAACCATAGACAGATACCATTTCACACTAGGATGGCTATAATCTATAAGAGACAATAACAAGTAATGACAAGGAAGTGAAGAAATTGGAGCCCTCACACTTTGCTAGTAAGCTTCCACCCCCCACCCCTTCCCATCCCCCGCGAGGCTGGAGTGCAGTGGCATAATCTCAGCTCCTGCAACCTCCACCTCCTGGGTTCAGGCAATTCTCCTTCCTCAGTCTCCTGAGTAGCTGGGATTACAGGCACGTGCCACCACACCTGGCTAATTTTTGTATTTTTACTGGAGGCAGGGTTTCACCATGTTTGCCAAGCTAGTCTCGAACTTCTGATCTCATGATCCACCCATCTCAGCCTCCCAAAGTGGTGGGATTACAGGCATGAGCCATTGCACCCAGCTAATATTTTAGTAATGGTGTGATCACTTTGGAAAACAAGTTGGCAGTTCCTCAAAATGTTAAACAGTTAATCATATGACCCAATAATTCTCCTAGGTATGTTCCCAAGATAAATGCCCATTTGCTGATGAATGGCTAAATACATGTGGTATAGCCACACAATTGAATATTATTTGGCAGTAAAGAGGAATGAAATACTCACATATGATACAATATGGATGAAAATATTATGCTGAGTGAAGCCAGTCATGGGTGATATCATTTATAGGAAATAAGAATAAATGTGTAATATTAGGCCATGCGCGGTGGCTCACGTCTGTACTCCCAACACTTTGGGAGGCCGAGGCGGGCGGATCACCTGAGGTCAGGAGTTCAAGACCAGCCTGGACAATATGGCAAAACCCTGTCTCTACTAAAAATAGAGAAGAGGCAGGAGAATCGCTTGAAGCTGGGAGGCGGAGGTTACAGTGAGCCTAGACCATGGCACTGCACCCAAGCCCGGGCAATAGAGTGAGACTCTGTCTCAAAAAAAAAAATTGCTCTAGGCATTTCCTTCCAGCTTGCGGGGTTTGAGGGAGTGGGTATGGTGTTAATAGGATAGCTAAAGGGTGGGTAGGTTGGGTCTTCTGTTTATTCAAGTAAGGCTGTTAAAGTTGTGAGGAAAGGTAGTGTTGAAGACAAATGCTGTGACATTATGAAAGGAAGGGAAGCAGAGAGAGAAGCTTAGGCATGGGCCAAGTTTGCATCACGAGGTCCATTTTTGAATCTTAGCTCCATTACTTACTGTTTACCTGAGCCAAGCCCCCACTCTGAGACTGAGGTTTTTCAACATAAAATGGGGAGTTGGAAAGGTCAAATAAATTAACTCATGAGAAGATTTGTGTTGTCTGGTTTATTATAAATGTTAAATCCTATGGAGAATTTAGACATTTTGTCATTCATATTTTTATGATAGAGAACAGCTTAAAACTTCTCTTTGGTGTAAGTATAGTCTGTAGAACCATGATGTTCTGAATAGATGACTGCAGTCATAGTTTGTGAAACCTGATTATAGCTGATACTCTGGAAATGTAACTCAAGTTGTAGTCCAGAAATTCATGCTCAAGGTGGTGCTGTTTTCCCATAAATCTGATGAGGTTTTACATTTTATCTCTATTCCAAATCAAGCAAATAACTGTATATATATATATATTTAGGGCCATTTCTGCCTTCCACAGTCCTCACGTCATCTTCCCTTGTGAGACCCCACCCAAAATCATTTCGTAGAAATGTGTATTTATCCCATATTCACTAGAACACATATGGGAGCTAAGAGTTGAGTATACCAGTGGACCTGTTACATTTTGGAAGACATTTGTTAAAACAATACTTTAGATATTACAGCTTGCTTTTTATATTTTAGAGTCAGTTTGTTTTTAGGCCAGAAATATTTGAAAAGCTTGTAAGCCCTGGCTCCTAATGGAATAAAGGACCTAATATAACTCTTCTGCAAACAGATTACATTACAAGGGAAAATACTCATTTCGAACTTATTTTTGCTCATAATCTCAATCTGGACTGCCATATTAATCATTTCCTTCTTCTTGTCGGAAACCAGACATGCATTTTATAGATGGGTCATTGTGTGTTTGATGTGAATTGTTTTGTTTTGTTTTGTTTTTAGATCCGGGGATTTCTTTCACGGTTTGATAATGTCCTTCCCGTCAGCCTGGCATTTGACAAATGTACAGCTTGTTCTTCCAAAGTAAGTCATTTTGCATTGGAGGGACTTGTTTTTAAAAGTGAGCAAATCAGCATTTGACCACAGCCTCACCAGCTACAGCCATTGAAACCAACTAAGGGCTTTTTGTGGGGGAAGGGTGGGGTCTAAACACTCAGAAAGGACTTTGTTTTCATGGATCTGTATTTATTCTCACAGTGGTTTAAAACCAGCCTGAGAAAATGTATAGTGTAGGGAGACCGAGTTGAATATTTTAACTCTGTATCAGTACTTTGTGTCATGCTAATTTTGTCTTGAATTTGAACTTTACTGTTCTTTGTTGCTCCCCAGAGGGTTCGCTCCTAGCGGGGATCCTCACAGAGCAATTTTTTAAAGCGTACTCTCAGGGTGAGGCAGCCTTGGCTGAGTCTTCCACAGATCCACATAATTACAAAGAAAAAGAAAACAGAGATTAGGGGCCTGGATGGGAAGCCACTAAAGGGGCCCCTTTAGCTTTGATCTTTCCAGAAGCTCTAAAAATAGACCTGGTATGTTAGCCATCGTAATGGGAAACGGCTGATATATCTCAAAACTATAGTGATGGCATCCTATGTTTTAATAGGTTTTCAGATGCTGTCTGAGTGAATTTTACATGTACACTGTATGTGATAGCTGATTTCCTTTCAGGTGTCCCTTTCAGCCTTCTAATGCCCAGTGACTTGACCTGGGCTCTTAAGGCTCGTGATTGCTGATAAGTAAAGATTTTCATGTTGAAGTGCTATACAAAATAATGTTGGTAGTCACCAATCCCCAACTCTGGCTTCTCAGATATAATTTGGGACTGTTTTTCTGTGTAGCCTTCATCTGTCTGCTACTGTGGAAGAAATAGAATTCTAGGGACGTTTTTCTCTATTCTGAGTTGACAAGCTTTCTTTGAAAACTGTACTTGGGTTATATTTTATGGGAAGCATGATCCTGACCAGTTTCTTTGAAAAGTGAATGTAAAATTGACAAGCAATGTTGATAAATTTGGTTACATTTAGATGCTCAGAAATTTAAACTAATTATTTTCTTTTTGCCTCCAAAGTAAACTATGCCCATTTTATCATTATGCATCCCAAGTGCCTATGTTGAGATTTCAAGCTTACCCTTTGTCTTTAGTTACCCATGAACTCATTCTTTCTGTAGTTTTCCTTTAAGGTGTATGTGCTGAAGCCAGGGCCTCAAGGATGTCTGTGTGCACCTCCATCTTCAGAAATGCAGGTTTAAGGATTATACCACATCTTTAGTGGAGCAGTTCTTTTCCCCCTTTGAATGGTTGAGCTAACTGGTCTCAAAATAACTTGGCAGTATTAATTTTCATACTGAAATCATTTGGGACAGGTGCCAGGTTTTCTATGGCTTTATATTGATCTGCTAGTCAATGAAATAAAGATAATTGGGTTCTCTAAGTGAAGTGCAAACACTCATTCTTTCTTGTTGTATTTCTAATTAAATTAGCCTTTGAGATACTGTTTATAAAAGAATCACAAGCATACCAACTAACTGGGTGTTTCTTATATACTTTAAAAGAATAGCTTGGCATTTTTCTTTCACACTTATCATAAGCTTTAAATTAAATATAGGTATCACTTTTTTGTTAGGAAAATTATTTCCTCCTGGTGGTCATTCTGAGGGTCCTGATTTACATAAACATGCTGGACGATTTAATACAAACTGACTTGGATTTTAACAGCTGTGCTATTCCCATAGCGATCACTTTTCATGTGGTCTGGGTATTAAATTTCTTCTGTGCTGGAAAGGTTGCTTCATTGGTGCATGTATTTCCTTACAGTAGAAATGCAGCATTTACTTACTTGTCTACCTTCTTTATTCGCTTAGGAGATTGTCGTTCTCTATTATCTGCAAACCCAATGTTAATAAGTTTGAAATGACAAATCCAGTACATTTTCATCTTTGTGTATGTGAATTTTTTCTTCATAGATACTTAGCATAATACGTTTTATACTGAGTCATGTCATAATTATTGTTTTAAAAGATTCTTTGGGGCTAAAAATTACTTTTTAAAATTTCTCCTTTGGCATTCATGAAGTAAATTTTTCCTTTGGTAGTTTTCAGTATGTTTTCCTCCCCCCCCCCCGCCCCCCCGCCGCCCCGCGCCCCACTCTCCAGAGACAGATTGGGGAAGTAATAAGTTCTGCTGAGTCATAAAGCGCTTGTTCATAACCTTACTCATTAAAAACAAAACAAAGCAATATATATATATATATATTGCTCTTACATCTCGTTCTCTGTGTATATATGTGTCCGCACACACACATATATACATAGAGAGAGCGCTTTTGATGTAGCCTGAGGTGGGGAAGAATACAGTGCTTTGCTTCTAAGGCAGGAAAGTCGGAACATTTACTCACAAATCATTTCTTACCCTACATGATCTTAGGTTGGCACATGACGGGGTCAATTGTTCCATCTTAGAGGAAAAATATTGAAGAATTAGGGGGAGAGGTGGGTGGTGAGGAGTCAATTTCATTCCAATTTCTACTGATTGTCTTGTAGAACTTTCTAAACAGGTGGTATTTATCAGTGAAATTTCAAAAGACCTTGTTTGAAGTTTATATGAGTTGCTTTTTACTTCAAGGACTTCCAAGCTAACTAGAGTATTATGGCATTACTACCAGAGGGAAAAGTGTAATTTTAAAATCAATATTCCTGAATTTTAATATCAATATTCCTGAAAGAATTTCTCATAGTTCATTGTTACTTTGTTATTGTTAGCCTTTCACATAATTATTTTTTGGCAGTAGAGTATTTTTGGATGACTTGATATAATTTTAAGTGGATCTCCTGTATACACTTTAACCACATTCACCCATTGTTAATGTTTTGCTCTATGTGTATGTGTTCTCCTCCTCCAATCCCTCCTTCTCCCCTTCCCCTCCCTGATTTTTTCTTGAAATTTTGAGAGTACGTTGGAGACATTGTGATCCTTTACAACTCTTGAATGCTTCAATGTAAACCCCAAGGAACAAAGACATTCTCTTACCTAAACAAAATACCCTTATCAAATTCAGGCAGTTTAATGTTTGCATAATACTGTTTTCTAATCACCAGGCTGCATATTCAGTGTTATTTGTGCCCGTTAATGTTCATTGTAGGTGTTTCCTCCCAGACCAGGGTCCAATTGAGGATCAAACATTGCATTTAGTTGTCATGTCTCTCTGGCTTCCTTCAATCTGGAAAAGTTACTTCATCTTTCTTTGTCTTTCTTAACTTCGATGTTTTGATATTTTGCCAGTTATTTTTGTAGAATTTCCTGCAATGTGGATTTGTCTGACATTTCCTTCTGATTCGATTGAGGTTATGAATTTTTGGTGGGAATACCAAAGAAGTGATGTTGTCTCCTCACATCAGGAGTTATGTAATATATTATATCCCTTTTGGTGATGCTACTCATTCCCTTTCCATATCTGTAATTGCTTTTTCCAACAGTGAGAAACCTGTGATCTCGGCTTACTGCAACCTCTGCCTCCCAGGTTCAAGCTATTTTCCTGCCTCAGCCTCCCAAGGAGCTGGGATTACAGGCGCTCACCACCACACCTGGCTAATTTTTTAGGGTTTCACTGTCTGCCAGGCTGGTCTTGAACTGCTGACCTCGTGATCCACTCACCTCAGCCTCTGCAAGTGCTGGGATTACAGGAGTGAGTCACCACACTCAGCCCTGTCCTAGATATATCTACTCACTTGCTGAAGTCTAAAATACACAGAAAGTAGTTTAAAAGTTGCTAGCCCATGCTACTACAGAAAATAAACCTAGAACCTACGGTGCCTATTTGTGCACAGTTCTTTTTTACTAGGTAAAATTTACATATGGTGAAATGCATGAATCTTAAAACAACTCTTAAGTTTTAACAAATGTATACACCCATGTAATTCACACTTCTCCCATCAAGATATTAGAATTTTACCATCACTGCAGAAAGTTCCCAGGTACCCTTTCCCAGGCAATTCTTGGTGAGGGGGAAGTATGTTGAGTATCATGGCTATTCCTTCGCTATAAGGAGTAAAGCTAGGCACCTTCAGGTGTTGTATGGATTAATAGCCTTGTTTCTAGGACCCAGAAGTTGACCAAAACCTTTTTTCAGACCTACAGAGTCAGGAGCAGGTCTGTGCAAGAGGAGACTATGCAGAGTATTCTTGCTGCTGTTGCACAATTCTGTTACTCACAACCTTTGTGATAGTGCAGGAACAGCCTGTTACGAAGAATCAGGCTCCAAACTTGGTTTGCATACCATCTGGGACCTGTGCAGATGTAGCAAGATGTGCCCAGAAACCTGATCTTGAGATTTTAATTAGTGATTAGCAACCCTAATATACTCATTGCAGCATTGACTATGCAGTAGGCTTTTCTGTTGATGGGTTATGATTAAACTCCTCAGAGTGACTTGCTATCAGTTTTTTGTGTGTATCTGGGCATAGTCCTGAGGAGTGATAGGGTGAGGGTTGGGTAGGAATAATAAATGCCAGCTGGTGATATCAGATGGTGAATTGTACTTTCTTTTGGCCTTTGTCATAGTCAGCCTGCCTATTTATTTTTTGATATTATATAATCCTATCTTTCTTCTATCATATTTTCTTGTCAAGAAGAATGAAAATCCAGGCATGGTGGCTCATGCCTGCAATCCCAGCACTTTAGGGAGCTGAGGTGGGCAGATTGCCTGAGGCTAAGAGTTCGAGACCAGCCTGGGAAACATGGCGAAATCCTGCTACAAATAATACACAAATTGGTCAGGCATGGTGGCACATGGCTATAGTCCCAGCTACTTGGGGGGTTGAGGTGAGAGGATCCATTGAACCCAGGAGGTTGAGACTGCAGTGAGCCATGATGCCACAGCACTCTAGCCTGGGTGACAGAGCAAGACCCTGTCATGCCTGTGCCCCCAACCCCCCACCAAAAAAAGAGAAGCATGAAATACCAAAAGTAAACAGCTACTTAAACTTTAAAAGAAACCTCTGTCCCCTAGCAGCTTGTCACCTAAGGGTTG